GATGAGAAGGTGTGGCCTGTAGTCAGCTATGTCACCCCATGTCCTTGGACCTGCCTTTGCAGCCAGCACATTCCAACATCTCACTCAAGTCTTTTCTGCCCCCCTGTGCTGTGCAGACCCTCAACTGTGTCAACCCTGAGAACGAGAATGCCCCAGAGATCCCTGTCAAGGTGCTGAACTGCGACACCATCACACAGGTGAAGGAGAAGCTGTTGGATGCTGTCTACAAGGGGGTGCCCTACTCCCAGCGACCCAAAGCTGGAGACATGGACCTGGGTAAGAGAGAGGCCAGGCACTTCTCTGTGGGGAGCAGGGTAATGACTGAGAGCAGAAGTGCCAAAGAAGCTGTTCAAGGCAGGAAAATCCACATCTCCTACAGGAGAAGGGACCTGGCAGGACCAGAGCATTTGTGCTTGTCCAGTCCGGTTTTCTGTGGTGATGGCACTGACTGTGTGTGGGCCATGGAAAGAATGGGGAACAGAGCCTCCTTGGCTCTGGCTGTGAGCACCATGTTGGTAGTCATCAGTCCTGGGGTTCAGAAGGTGGTGGGAGGGCTCTTTTGTTGATGCCCACACCTTGCTCCTACCCTCACCTCAGCTCTGTGCTCCTATTCCCTCTAACCATGAACTCTTCTCCCTCATGGGGACAGAGTGGCGGCAGGGCAGGATGGCCCGGATCATACTGCAGGATGAAGATGTCACCACAAAGATTGACAATGACTGGAAGAGGCTAAACACCCTGGCCCATTACCAGGTAAGACCATGGTGGAGAGCACTCAGCAGTCATCAGCTGCTTTGAGCTTGAGCATCTTTTCTCCCTCCTTGGTTTGGTCAGAGCTTGGGCTCAGCTCTCCAGACCAAGCTGCTCATGCAGGAGTAAGACCAGGAGATCTGCAGTCACTTCTCTGCCTGGGACCCATGTATATGATCTTTCTGTTCAGGGAAGCACAAAATGGGCCATCTCTAGGACTTGTAGAGACTGTTTTCTGCTCTGACCTTGCCTTGCAATTTTCATACCAATGTTTCTGGTGTATTTCTGTTCTGACCCCTTCCCCTGAGCACCAGCTCAGAGGGATATGTAGGTCTCCTTTGCTGGAGATGGATGTCCATGGGATGAAGTGCTGTGTAGCTTCATCTCTCCTGGGCTTGTTTCTCCCTGCTTGGGGGGCTGTTCCTCCTGTGCCTCTCTGGTATCTCAGCCTGCTCACACCATCTCTGCCCCCAGGTGACGGATGGCTCCTCAGTAGCCCTGGTGCCCAAGCAGAACTCTGCATACAACATCTCCAACTCCTCCACCTTCACCAAGTCCCTCAGTAGATACGGTGAGTGCATGGGGCATCCTCTGCTGTGCTGGCAGGTGAGGCAGCACAGGGCTGGTCTTGCAGAACAAAGCACAGGGCAGGTGGCTGTGGCTCACATGAGCAAGGTCCTCCCAACCCCTGGCTTTCTGGTACCACACTTTATTCTGGTGTTGGAGAGGGAACAGGTGCCCTCAGAGCCATCTCTTTTTTGCAGAATGTCAGACCTGGGGGAAAAAGACATGTCACAAAGGGGTCTCCTTCCTTTTATTTCCCTGAAATTTAATTAAAATAGTCAGAGAAGCTCTTTGTACTTAAATGAGCAGAACTGAGGACTCCAGTGAACATGCTGGCAAACATACTTCAGCCTTGGTTTGCAAGGGAATGGTGTGTTCAGCTCAGACTGACACAGGAGGCATCTGTAATCCTGGCAGCTGTGATACAAGCAGGACAAACCTCTGTTGAAACCCTTCCATCATAGTGCTGCCTCCTGCACATCAGCCAGGCTTGGGCATAGCCCATCAGGCTGTAAGGACAATCCCAGCAGAGCTCCCAATCCATGGTGGCTGCAGGGACTGGATCCCACAGCTTCCATTTCATGGGCATGATGTGCCATGAAGCCACGGTGGAGGGAAAGATGGGCAGAGGGGCTGGTGGCAAGGCAGAGGTGGGCAGGGTATGAGTGTCCCCTGTCCTTGGTGCTTGCAGAGAGCATGCTGAGGACAGCCAGCAGCCCCGACAGCCTGCGCTCTCGGACCCCCATGATCACCCCTGACCTGGAGAGTGGCACCAAGCTCTGGCACCTGGTGAAAAACCACGACCACATGGACCAGCGGGAGGGTGACCGGGGCAGCAAGATGGTCTCTGAAATCTACCTGACCCGCCTGTTAGCCACCAAGGTATGGCATGGGGACACAAAGCTGCCACCTGGCTTTTCAGATCTGGATGGGGAAGGGTAGTGATTTGCGTTGTCTGGAAATTGGTAAGCACTGCTTTTTTGTTAGCCTTCTGCTTCAGCACAGGAGGAGCTACTCTTTTGGTCTCTTTCCTGAGCTGGAGGTGATGATTTTGTGTGTCAAAGCCCTCAGGAAGATCCACTCAGGGAATATTCACTATTTGCTCCTTCCACTCTTTGGCATTTTTACTGTTCCCTGTGTCCTTTAGCAGCTGCTGGACTGCAAAGTGGAGAAGCACCTCATCCCCTTTGGTGTTTGGGATAAAGCTGCAAAATCGGTGATGTGGGAAGGGTAATTATTTGGGGCATTTGACATTGCAGCAGGTTCCCCTTCCTTCAGCACATATAAACCTTTTGTGGTGCAAAGCAGGTGCTGTGTGTCTGAGATGTCCCCAGAGGGGCTGTAGGAATAGAGGTGAAGTTGCTTTAAAGGCTGACCTTAGTTAAAGGCTCATCTCCCTGCTGGCACTGGGTGTTGCTGAGTGTCCCTTTCTCTCTTTCTCCTCTTCAGGGCACCCTGCAGAAGTTCGTGGATGACCTGTTTGAGACCATCTTCAGCACAGCACATCGTGGGAGTGCGCTGCCCCTCGCCATCAAGTACATGTTTGATTTCCTGGATGAACAAGCTGATAAGCATCAGATCAATGATTACGATGTCAGGCACACCTGGAAGAGTAACTGGTAATGGAGAGGGGCAGTGGGACTGGGGCTAATGATATTACAGCTAACAATACTTCCTACCCCTTCCACAGGGAGCAGAAATATGTCCCTGGAAATGTTCCAAGACAAGAGAGGCCCATATCTCTGTATTTTGGCTGTGGGTAAATCCCTTACATGCCTTCCTGCAGCAGAAAAAATCCCAGGAATGCAGTGCTCCCTCCGACCCTTCCATCCCCACACCCCTGGCACCACGCTCCCCCTCACGGCCGCCGCAGCTCTGGTCCTTCTCACCTTGGGCAAACGCTGTTTGGGCTTCCCCATCTTCTGGCCTCCTCCAGAGATGCCAGCTCCAATTCTCATCTCCACTGTTCTAAAGGTGTTTCCACCCTCCCTCCCATCACTCCACTGAGCATGTGCAAATGCAGTCGGCATAAAGCCCTGTGTGTCCCCTCCCTAACCTCGCCCGCAGAGCCAGCTCATCACCTCTGCTAATTGCTCTCTGAAAGGCAGGCTGGAGTGGCTGAGGAGACCTCCATAAGTGCCATGCTGGGACCAGGGCTCGAGCAGGCCTTGGCTCCTGCTCCACAGCCCCCCCTCTGCCTTTTTCTTTTCTGCTGCCTCACTGATTCCATCTCTCTGATCTTGCTGTTACTGGAGACGGGTACGTACATTCCCGTGTCTGGCATTTGTTAAATGGCAGCCAAATTGCTTTTGTATAGTTCAGTAACTGTTGGCAATTAGCAGGGCAGGAAAAGAAACATTTTTAAATGGAGATGTGAGAGCGCGGAAGTGCTTGGAACTGATTTATAACTCAGCTTTCTATATTAAAAGAAGGAGCAAAAAGGCAAGAGAGGGAAAAAAAAAGCCCCGCTCCACAGGGGCTGGGCTTGCAGGCTCCTGCATACTAATGCCTGTGCTTATCTCTGGGCACTAATTCGATGTGTGGAGCTAATTTCTCGAGGCTGTTCCCTTCACAAATGAAATATATACATGCACTCGGTACCCTCGTTAGGGAAGTCCTGGGAAACGAAGTGTGTTTTGTCTAAGATAAAAGCATTTGCTGGTTGTTGGTGCTGAGGGATGACAGAGCAGAGAGGCTGTCTGATGGGGGGTAGGCCCTGAGATGCTCCTGGGAGTGGAGAGGCGCAGCAGGATCAGGAAATGGATCCGTGGAGTGTGGCACGTGTGACAGCGCACAGCACACATCCAGTCGGTGGCTGGCCAGGAGACCTGCTGCCTCAGCAGCTGAGAGCTCTGTTTCCAGCATCTGAGGCTGCCTAATTCTCCTCTGGTGTTAAATGTGCTAATGAATCCCTTGAGGAGTCCAGTTAATTCCCTTCTCTAGCACAGAAGATGTGTGAAATACCACACAGGGCCTTTAAAGGGATTATTGATGTGAGAGAAGGGAATGGTGCCTGGTTTGACCCATGGCTCAGCAAGGGCTCTCCAGTTTGACTGGATCCTTGGAGAAACCACAGAAGTTGGTTGCCCAACTGGTGCTGCCCTCGTTTGCCTTTGGAGATGTTGGCAGTGCTGAGGAATTTCCTCATGGAGAGCTGTGGCCATGTGGGGGTGGGCAGAGGGGAATGGCCAGGTTGTTTGGATCACTGGAGTGGTGGGAGAAGCAGCCTGCCCAATTCTGGGTCATACAGGGCTCCTTCTCCACAACTAGAGTTGCATGTGTGTGCCAGCTGCCCTGGAGGGCTTGGTGTTCAGGTGCTGACTTCTGTTTCATTTATCCCACAGTCTACCTCTACGTTTTTGGGTGAATGTGATAAAGAACCCCCAGTTTGTGTTTGACATTCACAAGAACAGTATTACTGATGCCTGCCTATCCGTGGTGGCTCAGACATTCATGGACTCCTGCTCAACTTCAGAGCACAAGCTAGGAAAAGACTCTCCCTCCAACAAACTACTGTATGCCAAGGACATCCCCAACTACAAGAGCTGGGTAGAAAGGTGAGTAGAATTGGCAATGGCTCCTTGCTTCACCTGGAGGATTTACAGCGGAGTTGATGTGTGGGTGGGGACTTGGGTTGTTGAGAAGACTCCTCTTGGCGACTGTCTGAAGAGGGACTGTACTTGTGATTGTGGAAGGTGATCCTCTTGTTTGGCAGATGATGCTTTCTGGTGATTCTTTCCTGGAATGAGTTTGCAATGATTGTTTGGCAGTTATTTATGACTTGCTTAAGGGGTGCTAAAAGCAACCTCCACTTTTAGGTTGTCTGATGTTTTTCTTTTGTAAAAACTTGGTCTGTGTGGGAGGATTGCTAACACCTCCCTTGATTGCTTTCCAAGAGCAGTGAGAAGTCAGCCTTGGACTATAGAAGTGACTTTTTTGTACCACGACAATACACACAGGTTTTGCTGAAATGGTTGAAAATTACCATTTTGTGCCTCTCATCCATCTCACCCAGGATCCTGCTGAGAGCATGTGATCTGTAGTCAGTGCTTGGGCTGCAGTCGCTGTGCTGAGGAGCAGGGAGAGGAGCAGGTCCCCTGACTCCTTACAACACCCTCCAAGTTCACCGTGAGCTGATGAGAGACATCCTTCTGTC